GTCACCGAGGACTGCAGCGAGGACTCCGAGGTACGGCTCGCCACGTGTAGGCCGCACTGTAAATCCTCCCAGAGCCTGGCTGATATGCACTATTGTGCGCCTGCGTGTGTTTACAGGCCTGACAAAAACATGTGCAGGCTCTACACTGATGCTAGAAACTAGTGTCTTGTGCAAGCAAACATTTTGTGTTTCTTTTTATTTCCATATTAAAGACAGCGCAATATAACGCCAGCACCGATTATGGAGAATAATACTTTTCTCTGTTATTTAGGAAAATGAGGTTTTCCCAGAAGAGCAGGTTTTTAACATGGTGTGCTTCTGTTTTAAGCCTGTGTCTGTCGCCTCTCTGCTGAAGGTGCAGCAGATTCTCACCTATGAGGACTCCGTGGCAGCACACCTGTCCAAGATCCTGACCTCGGACCAGCACTCGGTGGTGATTTCCTCAGCCAAGTGAGCGTCTTGGATTCGATGCTAGACCTGTAGTTAAAGCACAACAAAATCACCATTTGATGTACCCTTAAAAAGAAAAGATTTTAAAAACTGGAAGTGTTTCCTTTTTTTTAGCCCGGTATATTCGTATTTGGGGGTGTGCTTTTTATCAGTTTTTCTCGTAACACTCTTTGCTTTTTCTGAACATTTGTTCTTTACCCCCCAAGTGTTGGCAAGTGCTGTGGCAAGAGCCTTTAATAAAAGCAGATTTTTATGCTCCAGCTGGAGTATGCCTTGTTTTCGGGCCCAAAGGCTTGCGATGGGGCGGTGATCACCTCGCCACTAAAACAACTCGACCAGTTCCTGAATTTCACCACTGCGCTGTTGCTTGAACTAGGCCTCTGTGTGTGCGCTGTGTCTGCAGGGTGCTGTGTGAGACCGTGAAGGACTTCGTGGCCCGAGTGGGGAAGGCCTACGAGAAGACCCCGGAGAGCTCTGAGGAGTCCGAGGCCATGGCCAAAAAGGTGAGGCCCTGTCCAGCCCAGCCCCTGGAATTTTATTGGTCCATGTGGGAATCTTTAACATCACATTCTACATCAATCTTTACATTTATTTGGCAGTTTTCACCACAGTGTGCTTTATTGGTCAGATCAGTCTAGACTCTATTCTGTTGCAGGCAAAAGCATTGCCACCCTCCGTTACCGACAACGGTATTCAATAACACTGTCGCACCCGTTGCCGACGGCGGGATTCGATGCCCTCCTTCCAGACTGCCTTCAGAAAGCTTGCCTATGTGTGCTAACAGCAATAGGAACTGCCTAAACGAATACATATTTTTAAAAATGCATCTTTGACATCAGGGTACCGATTCTTTTTTCTGCGGCTGTGTCCGCAACCCGTTGTTGGTTCTCGTGTGGAAAGTGTGCCTGCGGGCGCTCGTGACCTTGCCTCTCCGTTGACTGGCCGTCGCCCTTTCTCCCCGGCAGTGTGGGGTCTTGAAAGAGAAGCTCGACTCGCTGCTCAAGACGCTGAACGAGGAAGCTCAGGCCTCCAGCATGCTGCCCACCCCCCCGCCTACCATAGCGGAGGAGCAGGAAGAAGGGGAGGGGGTGGTGCTGTCCGCGCCAGCTGTCCCGCCGGCGCCCTGCTCCCCTCGCGCGGCCTCCGCCATCTTCAAACCTCGGGAGCAGCTCATGCTAAGAGCCAACAGCCTGAAGAAAGCCATCCGGCAGATCATCGAGCACACGGAGAAGGGTGAGCTCCTCGGCTTTCTCCTCCCCTCTAGGAGACCTCAGAGATTGGCATCATGCTGCCCTTTGTGTCAGAGGGAAGTGTCTAAAGACCATAACAAATGTACTGGGCCTTGTGCATTAAGATTTCATTCTGAAATTGCAAATGCCGCAAAGGCATTGATAAAGTCAATCCACTGAACATTTTTTAAATAGTGTAAAATGAACTAGAGGCCAGAATTGGATCTATGTGAAAGTGCATTTAAAACCAAGAACAGGAGGCACTTCTATACACAAAGAGTAGTGGGTGTCATGGAGATTTAAGTTACAGCAGTCATGTAGCTGCTATTCTAAAGATTGAATGTTGTCAGGGACAATGAGTTGTGCTTTCTGAATTTACTTGTCTGTTTCTGGAGCTTGACATTGGTCTCTGCCCAGCTGATCGTAACTGTGTCAGGAGGCTGTCACTGGTCAGTGTCCAGCTGATCGTGTCTGTCAGGAGCTCGTCACTGGCCAGTGTCCAGCTGATCATGTCTGTATTGATGTGTCGCCATGCAGCTGTGGATGAACAGAACGCCCAGACCCAGGAGCAGGAGGTGTTCGTGCTCAGTCCATCCTTGGAGGAGGAGAGCCGCACAGAAGACAAGCTCTCTCTCCAGTCCTCCCAGAGCGGGAACAACGCCTGCCACAACACCAAGGCCCGGCCCGCTCGCCGAGGTGAGCCTTCTCGGCCCAGTGTCGCTTCCTGCCTGGACAGGAAATAAACTGAGCAGGAAGCCCATAATGCCCTTTTCTAATGAAAGTAAAAATAAACTGAATTTGTCAATTAGACTGAAGCACATGTGCAGTATTAGCACAGGTGAGGTAAAGCAGATCAGGGTTTATTCTTCAAGAAGTCTGAGCAGAATCCTTTTTTATAATCACTTGAAAGGATCCTGAGACAAGTACGAGTGGAAGACCCTCCTCTGGGTCACTTTACAGATATTTTACTATCTTTTGTAGCTTGCATTGGCATGTCTACACTTTGTTGTAAATTCTTGTCTTGGTTCATATTATTTCATATAAGTTAAGATTACTTCTCAATAAATTTGTTTAATAAGAAAATGTTTTTTTTTTTTTAAGTGCAGTTTTTAACGGCCGTGCAAAAAGTACAAATCTGAAGGATATGGCTCAGGATGGTATATTCACCTGCATCTTGTTTGCATCTTATTTTGACAGTGTCCAAATCACCATGCGAAAAACTGATCAGCAAGGGGAGTTTATCGCTGGGCAGTTCAGCATCGCTCCCAGCACAGACCGGAAACCGGGACAACATGCCAATGCTGAACACCAAAATTCTGTTCCCAAGTATGATTCCTGAATCTGCCCTGTACCTTGTTAATGACAAAGAGTACAACTCTTGTGCTAATGTATATCCTGCTACAGAGGGTAATACTTTGTTAGTCCCAGTACTTAATTCCAGGAGCAAATGTCAGCTCAGTAGACTTTCGGGGGGCTGTCGTCAGCTTCAGGTCAGCCATCTGATCAATCTGACTGTGCTGTGGTTGGCCGCTTACAGAGCGCAACATCAGTGGCCCAGCTTCACAAAAATCACTGCCCTCTCTGACAACACTGCCCTCTCTTCCTGGCAGATTTGAGAGCAGGCATGTCTGGATCCCTTCCTGGCAGCTCAGTCATCAGCAGACTGCTGGTCAATGCCGACCCCTTCAACTGCGACCCAGAGAACCTGTGAGTATATGTGGAAAAGCAGAGGAAA